TCCCCTACAGCTCCTCCCTTACCTCCAGATGATACCAACAGCCCTCTGGCCCAGCAATGTTGTTGCCTAGCCTCCAGGCAGCAGAACTGCCCTGCTTATATGGGCAACCCCTGATTCAAAATGACTGCCCTCATCAGGCACCTGGCAGCTACCAGCTGCAGGCCTTTAAAGTGGCAGGCACAAACAGTGCCCTGCCACACGGGGCTATGGCAAATTCTGGAATGGCTGCAGCCCCTCCCATAGCCCCCTCCCAGCACTGATGCCGCTGCTCACTCCAAGCGTAGCCTGGCCAGCCCCTTTTGGGAAGAGCTCAGTGCAGCCCTGGCCCCAACCTGCCCTGCCCCATGTACATATCTGAGGGCACACACCCTCTGTGCCCTCCCAGGGTGCATGCAGTGGCAGAAGCCACGCCCCCCCCGCACCCCCGGAGAAGCCGCAGCTCTGTTCCACACTCTGCTCCACCTGGGCAGTGTCTACCCCTGCTCCAGCCCCACTCCCTCCCTCATCATGGGGGCCTATGGGAGTGGGGCTATGGGGCAGAGGGGGTACAGCCATTGCAGAATTCACCATAGCCCCCCAACTCCCCTCCCAGCACTGCTGCCGCCCGCCCCGAGCACAGCCTGGCCCAGCCCTCTGCCAGGATGAGCCCAGCGCAGCCCCCAGCCCCAACCCGCAGCGACAGCCCACCCCACTCCCTGCCCCAGCTGTGCAGCCTGTGCACCAGCCCCACTCCCTCCCTCACCATGCAAGCATTGATCTGCCCTCCCCTTAAAGAAGAAAAAAATATAAAAGGGTACATGAGCTGAAACTTCGAGACAGAAGGGGTACACTTGTTTAAAAAAGTTGAAAACCCCTGGACTAGTGAACAAGGGGCTGGATCATGACTGCCCTGAGAATGGAGCAGTATGTATGGAGTAGCCTTTGCAACTGCTGGGACTCAGACTCCTCTCAGAAGTTGCCTTTCCTAATAGAAAGTTATAGCCCCTTCACTGCTGCTCTGGCTCAGCTCTTCTATTAAGAGTATATGGATGTGGATGTGTGGTGGGAGGGAGAGTGGATCCAAGGAGCTGCCCTAATCCCCAGTCAGCTTAATCTCCTCATCACTATCAGAGCCTAGAACTCTCTCAGCCTCCGAAGGAAATTCACACCCTGTAGCAAAGGAAAAGCAGCCAGGATATGAGCTTACGTTTGAGTCATGCAGAGCAAACATTCATTGTCGTAAGTGTTCCCATCAGTTCCACAGAGGGGCCTGTACACCAACGGGCAGGCAGGGAAGTTGATGGTGTCCTCACACACAGGCTGCAGAGACAGAAACCAGTGACTGCTTCAGCACATACAACCAATGAACCTGGTGTTCAGAAGAGCTGGGCTGCAATTTCTGCTGGGAAGAGCAGTCAGCCAGGTCTGACTGCTCACATAGGTTCCTAGCCCAAATGCAGGACCTTCACCTAACCCAGGAGGTGCACAGCCCCACCAGGGGAGATGCCTTGTTGGACCTGGTGCTGGCCACAGGTGATGACCTGGTGAGAGGGCTGCGGGTGCTCAGCCACCTGGGTGACAGCAATCATCGCCTGCTGGAATTCACCATCCAGCGCAAGGTGGCACAGGCCTGCAGCAAGGCAGCAGCCCTAGATTTCAGGAGGGTGGACTTCAGTGAGCTAAGGAGAATAGTCGGGGAAGCACTGAGGTCCCGGAGGGGAGGGGAGGGGAGCCAGGTGTCCAAGAAGAGTGGTCGCTCCTTAAGGAGACGATCCTCCAAGCCCAAAGGGAGGTAATCCCAACATGGATCAAAGGGAGCAGGAGGGCACAAAAGCCCCCATGGCTCACCAAAAGCATCCGGGAACGTCTTCTAGCTAAAAGGGAGGCGTACACCCAATGGAATGGAGGGGCCATCACCAGGGAGGATTATACTGCGGTTGCTCGGGGCTGCAGGGGGGCAGTCAGGAAGGCCAAGGTGGAGATGGAACTGGGACTACCTTCCCAGATCTAGGACAACAAGAAGTCCTTTTTCAAATACACAGGGGACAAAAAGAAGGTACTTGGTAATGAGGGGCCTCTGCAAGACACGCTGGGAAATTTGGTCGTCACACCAGACGGCAAAGCTAACCTATTTAACAACTTCTTT